GAGGAGGTGGATGGGGAGGAGGTGGAGGTGGAGGTGGTCGGCAGCATGAAAATCTGAAATCACAGCTGACTGCAGGAGAGAGGAGAACCATTTTAAAGTTTGGCTGCAGCTCGGTGATTGGCTGCTGGAGATTGAGGTGACATGTAACTGGTTAATGTACCCAGTCTTCCTGAAAGACCTTGCGCTGAGCTTCATTTGATAAAAGCTGGAAACAATTTGTTGATGTTAAACATTTTTTATCTCATACACACAATCAAACGAATATTTTGTTAGTTGTAAGTTGTTATTTCACAAAGGTTTGTAATTTCTTTGAAAAAAATTGAGAATTAATTTGTAATAATATATCATTATTTTGTGATTATAAGACGTTGTTACGTAATAAATGTATTTGCATTAATAGGCATTATTTAGAGATAATTACTAATATTTGATGGTAATAGATCAGATAGAACGGTTATTATATCAACCAACAGACACACAAAACCAGACACACAGACACACAAAACCAGACACACAGACACACAAAACCAGACACACAGACACACAAAACCAGACAGACAAAACAGACACACAAAACCAGACAAACAGACACACAGACACACAAAACCAGACAGACAAAAACAGACACACAAAACCAGACAAACAGACACACAAAACCAGACACACAGACACACAAAACCAGACAAACAGACACACAGACACACAGAAACAGATATTCAAAATAATAATAATAAATAAAAACAGTTTTCAGCTACAACAAAAATATCAATAGTAAACAATACATGTCAGTACGGCAGCGCCTCCTCCCCGTGACAACCCACCCAGTGTTGGGACCCCTCCAAAAGTTTCATCAGGAATGATTGGGAACTTTATCCTTTCAACAGATTTGTAAAAAAGGTTCCCAAATGTATTTGAGGAGCCACTCAGAGAAAACCCAATCCTTTCCATCTCCAGGAAAAAAAGGATGTCTCTTATCCGGTGAGTGAGTTCAGATGTAATTTAATTATGTTACGAGACGTATTGTGCCTCCACAGACAAGGGATTTAAATTTAGACCAATGGAGACCAATCAAGCTGAGTCGGCAGGATGTCTCCCTGCTGCTTCAGGCCTCCAGAGGAGGTGCGACTCATTAAATCTTCCCCGACCTCAGGAGGAAACTGAGAGCTTTGATTTTTACCGTCTGCACCTGATGCTGTTTATATCACAGGTCAAACAATGTTAAAGTGGATGCTACTTTTAACTCTTTGAAATTAGAAAATGTTTGACAGAATAAACCAAAAGATATAAAATTAGGTAAGAGAAACTTCCCTACACTTTTATGTAGATGTTTCAACATAAAAGTGTATAAAATTGGCTTTGCACCCTCATCATCCAAATGAGTCTTGCAGGAATTACTCATCATCATTACTTCATCACTTCCTGTCCCCTGCTCTCGAAATCAATGGTTTTCTGAATGTATTTTTGGTCGTTAGCCTTTTAGTTGTTAGAGATTTTTATTCTAAGACATAAAATACATCCGTAAATACCCCACTGGTGAATTTAAAAACAGAGGTTGCTTACAAGTGTCTAAATGAAGTGACTAAACGTCATCACACCCAACATTAGCCTCCTTTAGCTTAGCGGTGGTGACGTGAAGTCATGTGACCGTGCTGTAGTTCCTTTATAGCCCAACATTAGCCTCCTTTAGCTTAGCGGTGGTGATGTGAAGTCATGTGACCGTCCTGTAGTTCCTTTATAGCCTAACATTAGCCACATTTAGCTTAGCGGTGGCGACGTGAAGTCGTGTGACCGTGCTGTAGTTCCTTTATAGCCCAACATTAGCAGCCTTTAGCTTAGCGGTGGTGATGTGAAGTCATGTGACCGTGCTGTAGTTCCTTTATAGCCCAACATTAGCCACCTTTAGCTTAGCGGTGGTGACGTGAAGTCATGTGACCGTGCAGTAGTTCCTTTATAGCCCAACATTAGCCACCTTTAGCTTAGCGGTGGTGACGTGAAGTCATGTGACCGTGCTGTAGTTCCTTTATAGCCAAACATTAGCCTCCTTTAGCTTAGCGGTGGTGACGTGAAGTCATGTGACCGTGCAGTAGTTCCTTTATAGCCCAACATTAGCCACCTTTAGCTTAGCGGTGGTGACGTGAAGTCATGTGACCGTGCTGTAGTTCCTTTATAGCCCAACATTAGCCACCTTTAGCTTAGCGGTGGTGACATGAAGTCATGTGACCGTGCTGCAGTTCCTTTATAGGCCAACATTAGCCACCTTTAGCTTAGCGGTGGTGACGTGAAGTCATGTGACCGTGCAGTAGTTCCTTTATAGCCCAACATTAGCCACCGTTAGCTTAGCGGTGGTGACGTGAAGTCATGTGACCGTGCTGTAGTTCCTTTATAGACCTACATTAGCCTCCTTTAGCTTAGCGGTGGTGACGTGAAGTCATGTGACCGTGCTGTAGTTCCTTTATAGCCCAACATTAGCCACCTTTAGCTTAGCGGTGGTGACGTGAAGTCATGTGACCGTGCTGTAGTTCCTTTATAGCCCAACATTAGCCACCTTGAGCTTAGCGGTGGTGACGTGAAGTCATGTGACCGTGCTGTAGTTCCTTTATAGCCCAACAACAGGGAGATGCTGCCTTCAGGGTCTGCTTATAAAAATACATCATCACTGCACCAATGTATGCAGTATTATCTGAACAAAAAAAACACCAGCATGATATCCTTTTTTTCAAAGGAATCTGAATAAATGAGACTTAATCTAAATACATAGACATAAACACTAGTAAATTAAAGATAGTTTGAGGTGATGATGTGTGATATTAAGTGTGTGTGAGGAGCCAGAGGAGTGTGTAGACAGACGTGGCCTTCATTGTCGGGCCTTATCTCCTGTGAATTTCCCCGCCTGCCTGCAGGTTATTGACAAAGGCAGCTAGATACACTCACACTTCATTATGGAGAGCTGTGACATCAGCAGGACGGCGGGTTACCAGGATACCTGAAGAGAGGCCGCGGCCATCCAATTAAACACAAGAAGAAGAAGAAGAGAAAAGAGCCAGCCTCCAGATCTGCTCTCAGAGCTGTAGCTGACACACCGAGAAACAGCCGGACAACACAAACACACACACGGTGAGTTACACACACTGACGACCATCATCATTAATGTGGGTCTCTTTATGAGAAGTCATGTTTCTTTAAAGCATGTCTTTATTTAACCATTACATGTGTAAAGGTGGAAAACAGCAGGCAGAAATAGAGACACTGAACATATAAGAGTTTGGACTGTCTCTTTGTGTTTGTAGATTCTTCCTAAATTCACTTAAAGTTACTATTACATAAAGCCTCCTTAGCATATTGAAACATTACACTTCAGAAAACTTGTAATATAAAAAATACTTGTGTTAAAGTCAGTAATGAAGTGGGGACGTTTCAAGGTGATATCTGTTAGGTATATGTTTAATGTATATGTTTTATGTATATGTACAACTTTTTGCAAAACACATATTTAACATTAAAAAAGGTTATGTTAAAAAATATATTTGATTTTTACATGATTTATACAACGATATCCAACTACTTTTTTTGTTTGTTAATTTTGCTCGATTTGACAATAAGATAAAATCAACTGAAGTATAAAATAAATGAAAAATAATCATAGAAATATATAGAAATAGAAGGTTAAAAAAGGTGCACAGGATACAAATGTAAAAATATGTATAATGCTATAGCTTCAGCAGTGAATTCATATTTAATATATATGTAAATACATATTGTACTTTATCTCCACTACATATATTTAATTCCTTTAGTTACGTAGCAAATATAGATGACTGACAAACAATATGATCAATACTTAAATAAGACTGAGATAAGGTAGATATTTTATTGATTGCAATTTGGGACATTTTTCGACCAACAATAAAGATATCAGCAGGAGAAGATAAACAGAATACGCAAAACAGTGTATCAATAATGAAGGATAAACATCTATAGAATATATTGAATACACACAATACATTTACAAATATACAGAATAGAAGCAGTGTACATTACGTCACACTCATTAAATACACCTGGATTTCATTCACAAATAGTTTAAACTAGCTGCACCTTTACCAGCTTTGAGAACACTTTAATGATCAATCATTAGAAAACATATATATATATTATTCTGAAATGGACCAATCTGCACAATGACTACTTTTACTGTCGCTACTTTCACTATATTTTGATGATCATACTTTTCTACTTTTACTTGAGGAACATTTTGAATGCAGGACTTTTACTGTAACAGAGTATTCCTACACTCTGGTACACTCAAGTACACAATCTGAGTAGGCTACTTCTACTTTTACAAAAGTATAATATCTGAGTAATTCTAATTTGACTCAAGTCCAATATGAGTACTTGTACTTCTACTCAAGTACAAGATCTGTGTACTTGTACTTTTACTCAATACAAGACCTGAGTAGGCCTACTCTATTTTTTCTACAAGATCTGAGTATTTCTCCCACCTCTCCCTGAACACTACCTGTAAGGCTGCGTTCAGGGAAACAAACACCCTCCATCCTCTCGCAGCTGGAGATGCTGCATGCTCGGCTCATGCAGCTACCTGTTAGCCGGTCAACTAGTCTTCTAGCCCCGCATTACATGGATCAAATGTGTGGGTGTTTATCACCGACGTCAGCCGGTGGTGTGTAGCGGCTCGATGGGACTCAATATGCGGTGGTAGCTGCGCAACAAGCCGCAAGGGAGCAGCGGTTAGTGGGTAGCTATAGTAACCAACTGCGGTTAGTAATGCTAACCAACGGCTACTCGTTATGTTAACAAGCGGCGGTTAGTTTGCGACTTTTACCGAGTCGTCATGTTAGCCCTGTTCCCCGACTTAGATGCTTTATTTATCTTCGGTCCTACTCCCCCTCTCGGTGCAGAAATAACCGCTAGTTAGCGCCTCCATCAGCTCAACAACATGACTCACACTATGGGCTAAGTTAGCTCGCCCGTTGGCGGATAGCTTATGCTAACAGTCAGGCAAAGTTAATTCTCGTAGTGGCCAACCGGCGGTACTACAACATCCGTGACGTCATTGGGCCCAAAAAAGACTTTTCCTCATTGACTTCCATTGGGGAAAGAGACGTTTGTTAATCAGCGGATAATTTTTCTTGAGCTAAACAAACTACCCACCAGGAACTATTTTATAGCCCGTGTTTAAATCATGATGGTCTACAAGTTGTAGAATGCGCTGAAAGCTGAATCCAGAGTTATTTTCGTTCTCCATTCATTTGACTGACAGAGAGCAAGGGGAATAGGAGGCTGGGCTTAAGGGGAAACTCAACTGCGCATGCTCCATGGGCCCACACACGGGTCCTTCTGCTCAGGCCTTTTTGAGCTTCATGCCCCACTGAACAGCTCTCATAGGAATGAATGGAGCTCCAGATCTCTTTATAACATCCATGGTGTCGGGGAAGCGATGTCCGTCCGATGGAGCTGAAGTGTTTCTCGGCTTGCTGAAGATGACGGGCCGGGTGTTTGTGGCTCTGTGTCAGCAGGATGATGGAAGCCGAGGAGGAGTGGAGGAACAAAGACCCGAGTGCACACCAACTATTGCTGGATAAAAAGGTGCTCTGCAAGCAGAATGGAAGGATCGGTGAGATGCTCTTATAATCAGTATGTCATCATCAAACTGTACATGGTGAATAATCATGTCAGGCTTTATTCTGCTACAAGGTGACCTACAGTGGTGTAAAGTAACTAAGTACATTTACTCAAGTACTTTACCTAAATAAAATGTTGATTTACTTTACTTGAGCATTTCCATTTGATGCTACTTCTACTCCACTACATGTATGTAATCCCTTTAGTTACTTTACAGATCTGGATGAATGATGTGAAATATAACCAAGTGTTGAATCAGACTTTAGTTCCACCTGGAGTAAATCCACCAGCTACCCCTGCAGTATACAAAGTACTTCAAACTAGCTGCACCTTCACCAGCTTTGAGAACACTTTCATGATCAATCATTATAAACAGGGGTGCACATAACTTTTTTGCCCTGGTTCTCAAAGGAGCACCTGGAGATGTTGCTTGGTGCTCATCCTTAAAATGAAATAAATAAACCGGTCTTTATTTGTCAGACACACGGCACAGAACACACAGAGGTGAACACAGAACACACATGCAGAGGTGAACACAGAACACACATGCAGAGGTGAACACAGAACACAGAGGTGAACACAGAACACACATGCAGAGGTGAACACAGAACACACATGCAGAGGTGAACACAGAACACACATGCAGAGGTGAACACAAGACAACATTAGCACGACCAGTAATCCTACAAGCTGTCATCACTCCTCCTGACTGTTCTCCTCACTGTCTTCCTCTCTGTCAGACATGGTAGCTGATGATGTAGGCCTACTTCTCTCTCTCTGGTTGAGTCTGTGATTAGCTGCTTGCATCCACAAGTCAACAGCTGGGTTTGGGTCGAAAGTCCAGTTTTAAAGGATATTTTTGGTTACTGTCCTATAGTATACATTGGAATGATTTCAAACCTGTTTATCCCAATAATTATAAAGGAGTGCCTTGAAAATATGTGTTTACATAAATTGTGACCAAACCGTTTGAACTTAGACTAAAGTGAACTATCTAAACACTCAGAGTCCTTACCTCACTGAGCTGTAGTTATCAGCCTCTCAGTCTGACTGGAGAGGACTCTCCCTCCACATCATTGTAGAAACATCTTCTTCTTATATCCGTTAGAGCAGCTAGCACCAGATTCTAATAACAACAGCGCTGGTACCGGTGCACCCTCCCTCTCTCCCTCGCTCACTCGCATTTTGGCTGTGAGCTGCGGGCGCCAGATAAGCCAACATCCCCCATTTTCATCACTTACAGCGCCCATCATACAGGGCAAATGAAACGTGTAACCGGGGTGAAAAGGGTGTTACATTTACTTAATTATGAATGTTGTTACATCAAGGCCGAAAATTAGGATGAGCACCAACAGTCAAAAATGTTTTTTTCCCTCCCAGAACTACCAGCGCAGCGCCTCCACAGATCTGGCGCCCTAGGCGAAAATCAACGCCAGTGCGACGGGCCGGCCCTGAGTTCATATGCAACTCGCAAATATCTTTCTCTCTCTCTTCTCTCTTCTCTCTCCTCTCTTCTCTCTTCTCTCTCTCTTCTCTCTCCTCTCTTCTCTCTTCTCTCTCTCTTCTCTCTCTCTCCCTTCTCTCTCTCCCTCTCTCAATGTTGGTACGCAAATGCGTTTTTTTTCAAATGACCCGGTGCTCTTTTTTTGGCCGAGGTGCGCATGCGCACCTGCGCACCAGTTATGTGCAGCCCTGATTATAAAACATATCATATATATTATTCTGAAATGGACCAATCTGCACAACGACTACTTTTACTGTCGCTACTTTCACTATATTTTGATGATAATACTTTTCTACTTTCACTTGAGGAGCATTTTGTATGCAGGACTTTTACTGAAACAGAGTACACTCTGGTACTTCTACTTTTAGTACAGGATCTGAGTACTTCTACATGATCTGAGTACTTCTTCCTCCTCTGTTTACTAAAAGGCTTCCGTCTCTTTCTGCAGGTATAGTGAGAACCCTCCACAGCCTGTTGAAAACTCAGAACACTCTGCAGATTCACTCCATCGCCCGCTCAGAATGTGCTGGTAGGTCCAATCCTCCATGGAGAAATATAAGTAAATATAATGTGTTTTTAATGCAAACTGAGCCTCGTGATGTAAGGACACTTCCTGTAAGTCATTATAATGAAAACACATCTTTAAATAATGGATTTTGTTTACTCAATTAATGATAAACCGTCTCAAAGAAGGTGACTTGGTGTCTTTCAACAAGGAGAAACTTAATCAAAATAATTTTTTTTTTTTTTTTTTTAATGACTTAAAAACAATTTTCTCATAATGTTAACTTAATAGCTCAAAATCATGAGAAACTTTAACAAAATATCACAAAATAAAGTCTAGATTATGGAATAATGACTTGGTAAACTATACAAGCAGTGTGCAGAAAGGTGGACGAAATAAAATGAACATCACACAACAGACAGCTGAGATGTAACGTAATTTCCCTGGTTTGTGAAACCACTGCAGCCTAATGTTTTATGATCAGATATCGTTGATACTGTTGTTAACTGTTGACAACTGTCAATACATGTTGTACCAATATACTATAATTCAAGCATTAATCCTGCAGTTACTCCTTTAAAACACACCAGAGACCCATCATTTTTCCCTCAATTGAAAATTATAAAAACAATACATGTGTATATATACAGTATTTTACGAATGAAAAAGGAGTGCATTCCTTCCACTAGTAGTTATGTGTGCAAGTATGACACACTTTTTGAAAACAACATTCTGAGACAATAAATACTTTCTTGTCCCCCTGACGTATAAAGAAGTGCCAAAAGTTTATTTCTGAGTAAATAGTTTTCTGATCTATTCAAGTTATGACGGCAGGTAGTGCAATCTGTATATTCAGTATTTTATGTATTTGTATGCGTCTCAAGGTGAACCATATGTGATCAGATTCTACACCACCCATTTAGTGAATATTTCTGTAGAAAATCAAATGGTTGTTCTACTCGGGCTGGAGCCACACGAGGACGATAACGCAAACGGACAAAAATCGATATCAAAAAAGTCTTCCGTCCACACGCAACAGGCACCAGAAACGTGTCCGTTTACATGAGAGCGCTCGAAAACGCTGGAGACGCTGTAGTACATATGCCGGGCCTGTAAGTGGCGCTGTACTTCTGCCACAAAAGTAGCGAAGAAGACTTCCCGCGCCTGGTTTCCCTTCTGTTTATTCGCCGCGGTGCACGCTCTGGCTCTTTTTCACCCTCCCCGAGGCAAGCGTGTGCTCCTGCTGTAAATCTCTCCGGTTGTCCACCAGCAGATGACAAACACCCACCTCTCCGCCTCTTCCAAGGGACGAGGGAATCGTGCGGCAGAGTTTCAGTTTTTTTTCTCGCCGGTCAACATGTCCGTTAAAGTTGAAACCTTCCGGACAAAATTAGAAAAGTGCCAGTCAGAGGTCTTCTTGGTTATTTATTGAGCTTTAAAGGTCCCATGACATGGCCATTTCTACTGATCATAGTTCCAGTGTTGAGGTCGACTAGAATAGATTCACATTGTTCAATGTTCCAAACTCACATTGGTTTCTCAAACAGCATCTCTGTATAGTCTGTGTATTCACTCTCTGTCCTACACGGCTTGTTGGAGCTCCTGCCCCCCCCTCCCTGTGAGCCCAGTGTGCTCCGATTGGTCAGCTCGGCCACTCTGTTCTGATTAGTCAACCACCAGAGAGGCTCCGCCCATGTCTAACACAGTGCTTTTTTCGGCTCTGAGCGGAACATCAGTTTTACAATGGCGTCGGTACAGCCGTATATGTTTGAACCGGAGTCCGATACTGAAAGTGAGACAGACCAACGTGATAGACCTGATCCACCGTCCCAAACTAGACTAGAGCAGACGGTTTCACAGTGGAAAGTGAAACCGTGTGCCATGATGCCTACCGAAGTGGAACACGTCTGTTACAAAGAAATGAGAAAGGTAGCCTAGCTGACAGTTACAACATGATGTGGCCAGCTAGCTGAAAACACCAACAGTAGCACATAACATTATATGCCAAGATATACACCATACATATTTGTCAAGTCAATAGAATATTATATGCCCTTTTATTTCTTCCTTAGTAATCGAATGTTTATTTTGTAAACCTTGCCATAGTTGGTTTAATTGCTAAACGTGTTATGTTACAAATATCTTACCTTCCTATAGTTTGTAACACGAATGAACCAAGTCCCAGCACCTATGATGTGCATGGTACAGCACCCAGGACTAGAGCCAAACGGTTTGAACCCATACACCCTGCAGCACCTCCATAACATTTACAGATTAGATTATCGACCTTTGAGGCGTAGAACGGAAGAAGAGTAAGTTATTCTTACCTGTAATAAACTACTACTGTGTTTGATGACAAATTAAATCATGGTTTGCTATATGAATGATATGTTATAGGAGCAAATCATTCAGGGAAGAAAGGCTACTAAGTATTTCCATCAAACTTTATTTTTAGAAATGTACAAATGAACATGTGTAAATAATATACATATATACACTGTATATCATCCTTTCCTCCCCTTATAGGCGTTTTCGGCATCTTGCCTATCGCAGCTTTGTAAGCTGGTGCCGGGGCTTTTTAGGACGAGGCATCAGAGTGGTCCTCCCGTCATGTGTGGTCCGCCGGATACGCCAGGAGTGTCCTGATCTGGCTGGACGAAATCAAATGCAAATCACAAAATATTAGAGAAACTTAGTTGTTTCAGGTTCGTTAGCTTGCCAGCTAGATTCATATGCTAACCTGCGTTTGCTAGTTGTTCAGTGTAATATGCCAACCTACTATGAACAACAGCTAGTGGTTCATATTAGGCTAGCAAGAACATGTTTACAATTGCAATCTTATACGGGTAGTCTGCTTCTTGTTTAGCTCTGTAGCATACACGCTAGGAACGCCAACTACAATGTAATTAAGTTTCGCGACTGACCGTACGGTAAATCACCCGGAGTATACTGTCTGAGTATTTCGTGTGTGAATGCAGACATTCTCCTGCTATGAGATACATGTAAGGCCATCTGTTGACATTGGAGTTTATATATGGAAACGCTAGCAACTTAGTTAGCCCAGTTAGCACTGTGTCAATGGCTTAGCAGCCTGAAAAACTTTACCCATTTAAACAGTCGTGGTAGATACCTTGTTTGTTTTAAACATCATAAATACACAAACAACAATGAATACTTACAGGTTGTGTACCCGAATCTTCCGCTGGTCCAAACAAAGTAGGAACGTTCTTCAGTGCCCTACATATCCGGCCTGAATCGCTGAAAGGTTTGTAAAGCTTTGTTTCGTGAAATGCCGCACCCACAGTAAAATACCGGCTCGCACATCTTAAGGGACAGGGTTACAAATAAATGTCAACCACTGACTTCGTCGTGGTTCTGCCCTCGGTAAGGCATACATTGAAGAGTTCCCCTCACAATACAGGACACAGCCCCTCGTTGGCATGACTGTCAAGTTCTTCAGTGTTTTGGCCAAACTTGAGAGGCTGGAGGGCAACAGAGGACGCTTGGACAACTCGAATTGTTCTTTTCTGTCTTTATTTATTTTAAGACAACTCCAAGAATGTATCAGGTTGAAAACCTTCAAAACACAAAGGACAAACAAATGTTAGCTCACAACACAAATTACAAACATTTTGCATGCCTCATTGCATTCTCAATAATAATAATAATAACAACACAAACTCAGTCACATTCCTGCCTTTTCAGGGTATTTTAATTAAAAGGATAAATTGTGAGTTATTTTAAAACCACATCATTAACTTAAATGAATTAATAAGAGTGTTTATCTCTACTTGGAAGCAAGCACCAGAGAAATCCTCAACTGAACACCTGCGCTGTCTAAAATATACAGCAAACAAACGGAGCGCAGGCAGACCACGCTGCGTAGAAAGCCGTCGATTGCGCAACAGCACTCTCACAAAGTAAGGCAACAGATCAAGTTCATAACACACAATAAACACTGGAGAACATACCAACGTCGTCTCTGGAGTAGGGATGCCAGTGATTATTCAATTATTCGAATATTCGTTACAGTCTCCATAATCGAATATTATTTTTAAAAATCGATTTTATTTATATATATTTTTTATTATTATTTATGTATTATTTTTTTATAACGCCAAATTCTCCCTCCGTGGCTTTGGGAACAAGAGAGCGGCCATCACAATTCCTGCCCCTTTTGTTGCCGTGTTACCGGAAGCGGCATTCATATTTTTTTAATGACGGCTCGCTTCTCATTGATAAAAAGTAGCCTACGCTATTCAAAATAAAAACGAATACCCCCTCTTGGTATTGAACACCTCTAATAACAATAATCTAAATGAAAATACATACAAATAATTATTTGTCCATCCGTTTTCATCAGATATTATTTTTCTTCCCTCTTATACTGACTTTCGTCTCGACAATGACTGGATACAGTTTTGAACTGAACCTGAGCTTCCAACAGTATATGTGACCCGCTCTATCGAAATCAGTCGGAAGTCGCAACGGCTCATTTCAAAATAAACGTGGATTTGCGTAAAAAACTATTTTTCCGGGGTTTGGGTGTTTTGTTTGATTTTAAACAAACAAAGTCTTGGCTTTCAGAATATGAAACTTTTATTTCCAAACTCACACGATAAATACATTCTTTAAGCTTGTAAAGGGAAGATGACAGGCAATCTGCTCTTCCGCAGCGCCGCCCCCCCTCCCTCCGCTGACATTATGAATGTAAGCGTAGAGTAATCATAAATAACACGGCAGGGTCCGTTACAGTTTGTTTTCATCTGATTTCAATTAAACAAAGTCTTGGCTTTCAGAATATTAAACTTGTTTCGGCAAATTCAGAAGATAAATACAGCTTTGAAGCTTCGGCATAATTACAAGCGGAGAACGGAGTAATTTAAGGTCACAGCAGGCACAACAACAGCTGGTGTTTCTCCTGAGGGTTTTCCCCGGGAAACAAACGCAATACACACAAACGCAAAATTACACAAACACACACACACACACACTCGCGAGCTTCCCCCAGACCAGTAATCCAGACGAAAATATCTTCCCTCCGTAGTATTTTGATAATTTGCTAATAATCAATCAGATCGATGGATTCCAGAGAGGAGAAAACTTTGAAGGCCTTTTTCTCAAAATGATGACTCGGTGACAGTCATTATATAATGTGACATATTTCGCTAAATATTTGGAGTACAAAAGCAATCCTGATATCATTAGAAAGCTAGGAATCTCCTCTTTCCAGCAGTGTATACAACTCAAAATGTGTCTTCGGGTCAATGCGACTGATTTCGATAGAGCAGGTCACATATATGTTCTGCTGGCAGAGGGTGTGGCCTCTGGGTATTGACACGTCGGAGAACCCAGGAAGAAAACAATAGAAAATGAGAAGTCTCCAACGAGGCGTTCTGGGGCAGCATAGACAGGTCTTTTCTGTGTTAGAGTTTTACTCGCAACAGGGTGTACTTTGAGGGTTTGTGACTCTGCAGACCGTTCACATGCAGAAAAAGCTTCATAACACAAGGGGACGGATAATAACCGGAAAAGCATGAAATGGGACCTTTAAAACAAATTTGATAACGACTCTATATAATAATATAAGATTAATAAACGGAGCCCCCCTCTTCTGACAGCCCAGCAGCTGATCTCTGAGCAGGAGAGGTGGGAGAAGTGTTCATCGTTATCAGAAAATGTACTTCTCCTCCACTACATGTATTTAATCTCTTTAGTTACTTCACAGATGTGGATGAATGATGTGAAATATAATCAAGTGTTGAATCAGACTTTAGTTCCACCTGGAGTAAATCCACCAGCTACCCTGCAGTATACAAAGTACTTCAAACTAGCTGCACCTTTACCAGCTTTGAGAACACTTTCATGATCAATCATTATAAAACATATCATATATATTATTCTGAAATGGACCAATCTGCACAACGACTACTTTTACTGTCTTTCACTATATTTAGATGAGAATACTTTTCTACTTTCACTTGAGGAACATTTTGAATGCAAGACTTTTACTGTAACAGAGTATTCCTACACTCTGGTACTTCTACTTTTACTTAAGTACAAGATCTGAGTACTTCTACTTTTACTACAAGATCTGAGTACTTCTACTTTCACTTAAGTACAAGATCTGAGTACTTCTACTTTCACTCAAGTACAAGATCGGAGTACTTCTACTCAAGAACAAGAGTACTTCTACTTTTACTACAAGATCTGAGTACTTCTACTTTTACTCAAGTACAAGATCTGAGTACTTCTACTTTTACTCAAGTACATGATCTGAATACTTCTACTTTTACTCAAGTACAAGATCTGAGTACTTCTACTTTTACTCAAGTACATGATCTTAGTACTTCTACTTTTACTCAAGTACAAGATCTGAGTACTTCTACTTTTACTAAAGTACAAGATCTGAGTACTTCTACTTTTACTCAAGTACAAGATCTGAGTACTTCTACTTTTACTCAAGTACATGATCTTAGTACTTCTACTTTTACTCAAGTACAAGATCTGAGTACTTCTACTTTTACTCAAGTACAAGATCTAAGTATTTTTGATGTAATATGTATTATTTTGCAGACCATTCACATGCAAACAAACCTCTAGAACACACTACAGGAAAGGGGAAACCCTAAAAGTATTTTAGTGCCTCTTTAATACTTCTTCCACTACTTGCACTCAGTCAGACAGTTACATGTCAGTGAGGTTTTTTTGTGCTCTCGTTTTTTAAAGGCATTAATAAAATAGACTTTGCAAGCACATTTCATGCAATTGTGATATTTAAAAAACCCTTTATTTATCTCCCAGTCAGACGGGACGTTTGCAGTCAGTTAGTCTCACCTGTACAGGCAGTGCTGGAGTGTGTTCTAGGTGAAGAATGAGATAATGATCATTAGAAGCAGTCCAACCAGTCAGACCGCTCACACTGACACACTGACATCAGACACTTAGATCAGCTTCATTTAGCATACTAGGAAAAGGGGGACAATAGTGAGCCTGGCATTTTACAAAAAATTACAAAATACACATTTAAGTGTACTTAATATATCTCTGTACGTAAACTGAAACGTAAAAACAATTTGGCAACTTGTTTTGCTCCCAGCCAAGAAATAGCCCGACCCGTAATCTCCTGTTGAACGTCTGATTGATGTTTTTACTCCTGTTTTGGTATAGATTCAACTAACTGGATTCAGAGCTGCTGATAGGTGGATTGTGTTACCTTTGGACAGGCTGGCTTTGTCTTCCCTTCTTCCAGTGTTTATGCTAAGCTAAGCTAAGCTAACCAGTTGATGGCCTTATTTCTAAGAAACATATACAGCAATCTTAATGTCTATGATCAGCTGATCCAAGAGGTTTTAAAATAGTTTATAAAGCTTCAGAAGAACCAAAGCTGTCGGACAAACGTAGTGAGGTAGAAATATACAAATGGAAATAGTCAAGTAAATTTTTTAAGCTACTTTCCTTAAGTTGAGAACTAGTGAAAACTGTTCTTCAGTAAGTACATAAAAAAAACACACACAAAAACATTCTTTGTTCCTTTTTTAACCCATTGAGGCTTTATTCAAACTATACAAGCAGTGTGCAGAGAGGTTTGTACCAATATACTTTAATAAAAGAATGAATCCTGAATCTACCCTTATAAAACATACCAGACATACCCATAATCGCTCCCTTTTAAACTTATAAAAAAAGGAAATGTATATATACAGTATTTTACGAATGAAAAAGGAGTGCATTACTTCCACTAGTTATGTGTGCAAGAATGACACTTTTTTACAATAAATACTTTCTTGTCCCCCTGACGTATAAAGAAGTGGCAAAAGTGTATTTTTGGGTAAATAGTTTTCTGATCACTTGAAGTTATGACGGCAGGTAGTGCAATCTGTATACTCAGTATTTCATGTATTTGTATGCGTCTCAAGGTGAACCATATGTGATCAGATTCTGAAAAATTAACAATGTGTACAATGTACACCACCCATTTAGTGAAAGTTAGTTTCTCTTTCTGTAGAAAATCAAAGGGTTGTTCTACTCGGTGTGATTGACAGGAGAGATGATCAGAGGGGCAGAGTTTTTACCACCATCGTTGTTACAGGGACTAAAGTATGGGTAGAGTTTCTCTTTGAAGCAGACGCCAGTGAAGGAGTAGATCAGAGCTGCAGCATCAACATCATAAAAGGAGACCAGACCCTCCTCATAATCCACAAACACCCCCACCTTCTGAGGCTGAGACTTCAGAGAGAGACGGACTCGATTACTAGCACAAGCTTTGTACTCATTTCCATTCCTCAACACTATCGCCCAGTAACCTTTCTGAGGAGACGCTGTGATATCTCCCCTCCTGTTGATCGACTCTCTGGCCACTCCTAGATCCCACTTAGTCTTCCCTTTAACCTGAACCTCACAATAAAATCTTCCTGAAGAGAAACTCTGCGTTGCTAAAACACAGTGAGAAGAATCAAATCTCTCTGGATTGTCTGGGAGATTCTTCTTCACATCACCATGTTTCACTTGTTTTCCATCATCAGACAGGATGAGTTCGGGATGTGCTGTATCAGGATCAAGAGTCACCTCCACCTCATACTGCTGGACCCTCTTCAGCTCGAGCAGCTTCTTCATCTGTTTACTGAGCGTCTCCTCCAGCTGAGTCACAGCTCTCCTCACAGTCCCCTCATATGAAGGTGGACGGACCCTGACTTCTGTCCAGTTCTTGGTGGGTGGAGCAGCGTTCAGGGACGTGAAGCTTTGGAGGAGGTGGAGCTGGTCTTCAGAGCGTGAGAGCTGCTCCACCTCAGAGCTTCTCTTCTTCAGCTCAGAGACTTCCTGTTCCAGCTGTTTGATGAAGCCTTCAGCCTGTTCCTCTGTCTCTCTCTGCTTCTCTTTGATGGTGTCCATGAGCTCGGCCTGGCTTCTCTCAACAGACTCCTTCAGAGCGGTGAAGACCTGAACACCATCTGCTATCTCTCTGTCTGCTCCTTCCTTACTGAGCTCCACTGAGCGATTCATCTCCTGGATCTTCAGTCGTCTCTTCTGGATCATCTGCTGAATTTCAGCCTCTGTCTTTCCCAGCTCTGCCTTCTTTCCTTCATATCCTTCTTTCAGAGGAACAACATCATGTGTCTTGTGGTCTGAAACAGTGCAGAGCACGCAGACACACACCTGGTCGGTCTTACAGAACAGCTCCAGCAGTTTATCGTGCTTCACACACATCCTGCCTTCCAGGTTCTCCTCAGGGTCGATCAGCTGATGTTTCTTCAGGCCTGCTCTTGTCAGGTGAGGCTCCAGGTGAGTCTCACAGTAGGACTCCAGACACACCAGGCAGGACTTCAGGGCCTTCAGTCTGGTTCCAGTGCAGGCGTCACAGGGAGCTTCTCCTGGTTTGACAACGTGTTGCTCTGAGCTGCTGCTGCTGGCTTTCTGTTGAGCTGACTGTCTGAACTGAGCCGCCATCTCAGAGATGAACGTGTTGACCAGCATTTCAGGTCTTGTGTGGAATAACTTTTTACAGTTCGGACACTGATAGGGGACTTTAGTATCCCAGTGTTCAGAGATGCAGGCTTTACAGAAGTTGTGTCCACATGGTGTGCTGACTGGATCAGTGAACACATCCAGACAGATGGAGCACAGAAACTGATCTTCAGTCAGCAGACAGCTGGCAGCAGACATGTCTTCACTCTGGGGGACAAAAGGTTGAAAAAAACACAAATGCAATTATATATTCTCTATTTGCCAGTTCAGAGAGTCCTACTATGAATCCAAAAATGTAAACTACCCCAACGTTTTATGTTAGAAATGACATACATAGACCAATGACAACCAAAAACATTTAGGTTTTTTGTCTGTACGAATTCAAGTTCAAGTTAAAATGACATCTGGAAAATCATAGCAGTATTCAGTTTAACTCTAAAAAAACACAATGTGTAAGCTCTAATAATTTTGGGGGATTTTTCCATTGTTGAACAGAGGAGTGAAACCTGAGCATCACTGAAGTTGATACTAGTTGTTAAATAAACAGTAAACGTTATCAGCTTCAAAAGGCAGACAGCAGTTACTACAGAAACAGGTTCAAAGCTCAAGGCTGCTAACCACAGTGTACAAATTATATAAAATGAGATATGTAATTGTCATACCTTTTTTATCAGCAAGACTTGTAACATAACACCAGATACCTTGCTTTGGACAGTCCAGAACACATCTAATACTTAGATACTACTTTGTTTAATAGTCATTTATTAGATGTTTTCAAATACAGGAAATATGAAAATAAGTACAAGCTAATGCTAGCTTTGGCTGCATTCTGTCTAACCTTCCTCACCCAGAGTTTACATTGCATTATTGGCTGTTGCTAATATCTTAACTGACACATTTCTATAGTATAATATTCTTATATGAATCCAACTTTGACTAAATATTTAGTGAGTGATGTGTCTCTAGTGCACTCACCAGTGTTTGCAGAGGTCCTGCTGTGTTGAAAAGAGCTGCTGAGTCGAGTGTTTCTTCAGAGAAACAGAGACACTGCTGTCGCTCAGACAATCTTCAGCTTTCATTTCCAGGACATTGAAATTCTTCTCTTACCGTATGGTTCCTCCTCTCAGTGGCAGTTTGCCAAGAGGGAGTGGAGGAAGAACTGTTGAAGCTTGTTATTTAACTTTGTGACGATGCATTTTACAACTGATCCAAGAGGCTTTCAAATAGTGTATTGAGCACAAGTAGGAATATTTTCTCAATAAATAAAGACATCTCTTTACACATCTGGAGATTTATAGCTATATTTTAGAACGGTGTGTTATGGCGCATTTCCACTACAGGGCCTCGCTCGGTATGGCCAGGCCACGTTAGGCCTTGTTAGGACTGGCACACTTTATGCTGCGTTTCCATTACAGTTTATTAGCTGGGGCAGTTACTATAGTAACGCAGTGTAGATGGAGCCGTGACGTCATCTTCAATGCGAACCACAGAAAAACAACATCTCAGAGCTCACAGCTCCTCATATCTGTTCAGAAACTAGACAAATGTTAAACAAGTACAAACCACAGACTGCCTGTGTCATGGAGAATACAGTCGCTGCTTTATTTATGTCTGTAGGCCGTTGTTGTGAGTGTGGACGGTCGGAGCATATATAACGTTAGCTTAGCCGATCTCCATTTAGACAACACGCATTTTAAGGTTTTTCGCCTGCCGTCTGTCTGCAGACTTGTCAAAGCATTAATTTATGGTTTTAATAACCGGTATCAGTATGTTGTTACTTCGGCATCATTTTGAAACGTGTATTACAATTAAATCACGGTCAAATATGTTCATCTTGTTGTAGTTGTAGCTCCCTTGCCAGCGATTCTCTCTTTCTAGTTTAGCATACTCAGCCCGACTCAGCCTGGTTGTTGGCCCAGAAACTACCTCGATTTTATGGGGCAAGAAAAACGGTGAAATAGTACCCGCTAGCCGGTACTACGCCAAGTAGAAACGCAACCAAAAACAGGCCGGGCACGGCACGCTTAAAGCGAGCTCCGCGCTGTAGTGGAAATGCGCAATTATAGTCCCTGTTTAAGAGCAGCTTGTGAAACATTTCCTCCTCTCTGAACAAACTGATTGTCAAACCTCAGATTGAGGAGGAACAATGCGGATTCCGTCCTGGTCGTAGAACGATGGATCAGCCTTTTACTCTCGCAAGGATCCTGGAGGGGGCCTGGGAGTACGCTTATCCGGTCTACATGTGTTTTGTAGACTTGGAGAAGGCGTATGACCGAGTTCCCAGGGAGTTACTGTGGGAGGTGCTGCGGGAGTATGGGGTGAGGGGGTCTCTACTCAGGGCCATCCAATCTCTGTACTCCCAAAGCGAGAGCTGTGTCCGGGTCCTCGGCAGTAAGTCGGACCCATTTCCGGTGAGGGTTGGCCTCCGCCAGGGCTGCGCTTTGTCACCAATCCTGTTTGTAATATACATGGATCGGATTTCGAGGCGTAGTCGTGGGGGAGGGGGTCTGCAGTTTGGTGGACTAAGGATTGCACCACTGCTTTTTGCAGATGATGTGGTTCTAATGGCTTCATCGGTCTGCGACCTTCAGCACTCACTGGATCGGTTCGCAACCGAGTGTGAAGCGGCTGGGATGAGGATCAGCACCTCCAAATCTGAGGCCATGGTTCTCAGCAGGAAACCGATGGACTGTCCACTCCAAGTAGGGAATGAGTCCTTACCCCAAGTGAAGGAGTTCAAGTATCTCGGGGTCTTGTTCTCGAGTGAGGGAACAATGGAGCGTGAGATGGGCCGGAGAATCGGAGCAGCGGGAGCGGTACTGCAGTCGCTTTTCCGCACTGTTGTGACGAAAAGGGAGCTGAGCCAGAAGGCAAAGCTCTCTGTCTACCGGGCCATTTTCATCCTACCCTCACCTATGGTCCTGAAGGATGGGTCATGACCGAAAGAACGAGATCGCGGATACAAGCGGCCGAGATGGGTTTTCTCCGCAGGGTGGCTGGCGTCTCCCTTAGGGATGCATCTGGACCGGGTGAAGATTTTACCTATTGACGCAGCAACCACTGTAAGTTATATTCTTGTTTAATTAGACTTCTCGGTTTCATTTATTCTACTCTGTATAATTGTTCTGTAGTTATTGTAGCTAATACGGCGCTTTTGAGAGATTTTAAATCTCAGATCTGCTCAGGCGAAACCTGCTGCACAGGTCTCAGCACTCAAGCCTGCATTACAATAGAGGCAGGGCCAGTCTATTGTCGCCCATCAGCTGTAGATAGTTAACTAATTAGAGGGGCGTGGCCCTACAGCTGTGAGAACTCAGCAATCAGGCGTCCATTTTAGGTAGCTCTTTCCTGGAGCGTCAGACAGCCGAAGACTGAAAAAAAAATTGGAGTCCTACGGGAGTAAGACTGACAAAGACATTGGAGTCCTACGGGAGTCACGAGGGAGGCAAAGAGGAGGTAAATCCTACTCTGATTGAGCTGGTGTCTTATTTCTCTTTTCTTTAGTTTTCTAGCTCCTCATGCTATAATCATGTGTATTTTCTCCATTCCTGTTCATGTGTCTTCTCGCAATTATCACTGGCCCCGTGTATCTCCTAATCGATATAACCGGCCTGCTCTCATCTATCCCACATGCTCCACTGAGATCCAACATCTAGTTTCAGGGGGCCTGTGGAACTGCCAGTCAGCTGTTCCTAAGGCTGACTTCATATCTGGCTACGCCTCCCTGCAGTCTCTGGATTTCCTTGCTCTCACTGAGACCTGGATTACTCCATCCAACACATCCACCCCAGCAGCTCTCTCCACTGCATATTCCTTCTCCCATACACCCAGACCAACTGGCAGAGGAGGTGGCACTGGTCTCCTGCTCTCTCCCAAATGGAGCTTTTCCCTCTTCAAGCTACCTAACTTCACTCCTTCCACCTTTGAGTTCCATGCCGTCACAGTAACCCATCCTATACAGTTAACCATTGTTGTTCTCTACTGTCCACCAGGCGCCTTGGGGGACTTCTTGGAGGAATTAGATAATCTCCTCTCACACATCCCTGAAACTGGCCCTCCCGCTGTACTTCTCGGAGACTTCAACCTCCAGACAGGGAAGATAGACGAACTAACATCCCTGTTAACCGCCTTTGCTTTCTCACTGTCTCCATCCCCACCGACTCATAAAGCTGGCAATGTCCTTGATCTCATATTCTCAAGGAACTGCGCTACTTCTAACCTCTCTGTAAACCCGCTCCACACATCCGATCACTTCTTCATTTCATTCTCTCTACCCCTTTCCAAACATAACAAACTAATCTCTTCTCATCCTGCACTTGTCCGCCGTAAGGCAAGGCAAGGCAAGGCAAGGCAAGTTTATTTATATAGCACTTTCCAACACAAGGCAATTCAAAGTGCTTTACAAAAAATGAAAGAGATTAAGAAAATGGCATTTAAAATCAGTCATTAAAAAGAAAAGCTAATAAAATAAACATTAAAAGAAAAAATACATGGATAAAAGTTACAGTGCAATTAAACATTAAAAGAAAAAGTACATGGATAAAAGTTACAGTGCAGTCTAAGATATGAATAGTTCAATTAAAAGCAGCGACAAAAAGAAAAGTCTTCAGCCTGGATTTAAAAGTAGTAAGAGTTGCAGCGGACCTGCAGGTTTCTGGGAGTTTGTTCCAGATATTTGGAGCATAATAACTGAACGCTGCTTTACCATGTTTAGTTCTGACTCTGGGGACAGAAAGCTGACCAGTCCCTGAAGACCTGAGAGATCTGGATGGTTCATAATTTAGCAGGAGGTCAGAAATGTATTTTGGGCCCAAACCATTCAGTGCTTTATAAACCAGCAGCAGTATTTTGAAATCTATTCTTTGACACACAGAAAGCCAGTGTAAAGACTTCAGAACTGGAGTGATGTGATCCACTTTCTTAGTGTTAGTGAGGACTCGAGCAGCAGCGTTCTGAATTAGCTGCAGCTTCCTAATAGATTTTTTAGTGAGACCTGTGAAGACACCATTGCAGTAGTCGAGTCTACTGAAGATAAAAGCATGGACAAGTTTTTCCAAATCCTGCTGTGACATTAGTCTTTTAATCCTAGATATATTCTTTAGGTGATAGTAGGCTGATTTAGTAACTGTTTTAATGTGACTGTTGAAACTCAGGTCAGAGTCCATGACTACACCTAGATTTCTGGCTTTATCTGTTGTTTTGAACATTGCACACTGAAGCTCAGCGCTAACTTTTATACGTTCTGCCTTGGCTCCAAAAACCATTACCTCAGTTTTATCTTTGTTTAATTGGAGAAAGTTCTGACACATCCAGTCATTGATTTGTTCAATGCACTTACTCAGTGTTTGAATTGGAGCATAGTCTCCTGGTGAAATTGTTACGTAAATTTGTGTGTCATCTGCATAGCTATGGTAACTTATTTTGTTGTTCTTCATTATCTGAGCCAGTGGTAGCATGTAGATGTTAAAGAGAAGAGGCCCCAAGATGGAGCCTTGAGGAACCCCACATGTCATATTTGTCAACTTAGATGTGTATTTACCTATAGAAACAAAGTTGTTTCTGTCCTTTAAGTAGGATTCAAACCAATTCAGAACTGTTTCCGAAAGTCCCACCCAGTTTTCCAGTCGGTCTAGTAATATGCTGTGGTCAACAGTGTCAAACGCAGCACTGAGATCTAATAATACTAACACTGAAGTTCTGCCACTGTCTGTGTTTAAGTGGATGTCATTAAAGACCTTTACAGTCTCAGTGCTGTGGTTTGGACGAAAGCCTGACTGGAACACATCAAAACAGTTATTTAAATGCAAGAAATTACTCAACTGTTGAAAAACAACTTTTTCCATGATTTTACCTAGAAATGGCAGGTTTGATATGGGCCTGTAATTGTTCATTACTGAAGCATCTAGATTATTCTTTTTTAAGAGCGGTTTAATGACTGCAGTTTTCAGGGCCTGTGGAAAAATACCTGAGTGAAGAGATTTGTTTAATATATGAAGTAGATCTGAGGCCATGCAAGGCAAAACATCTTTGAAAAATCCTGTTGGAATAATATCAAGGCAGCAAGAGGAGGATTTCAGAAGTTGAATAATGTCCTCTAGGTTTTTATCATTAATCTGATGGAATTGTGTCATGATGTCTGAATTGATGTTAAGTGGAGATAGGGAAAACACATTTGCTGTTCCTGATGCAGAGGCACTGACTGCTTGTCTGATTTTCTGAATGTTGTCAGTGAAGAAGGCAAAATCATTGCACGCCCTGGTGGATAGAAATTCAGAGGCTACTGACACTGGGGGGTTAGTTAGTCTGTCGACGGTAGCAAACAAGGCACGTGCGTTGTTTTTGTTT